AAGAAGAAGAAGAAGAAGAAGAAGAAGAAGAAGAAGAAGAAGAAGAAGAAGAAAAAGGAGAAGGAGGAGGAGTAGGAGGAGGAGGAGGAGGAGTAGGAGGAGGAGGAAGAGGGCGAGGAGGAGGAGGGTAAGGAGAAAAAAGGAGGAGGAGGAGGAGTAAGAAGGAAGAAGAGGAGGACGATATTACTGCTACCAACATACTATCAGCTGCTGCTATTTCAGTGCTACGGAGTCAATTCTGGCAAAAACAGCAGTCACAAATTGGAACATTTAATAGAAGTAGAAGAAGCAGAACACAGCAATGGGTTTATTAATTACATTTGAAGTAGAAGAACAGGAGGTTCGAAGGGTAAGGGAGAGCAGTTACAGCAATAACAACAAAAACAACAGCTACAACAGGAACAAAAACAACTGTAGAAGCAGTAGCATCAGCAGGCCTTTAGAATTTATGACAGTGTCTGGCACGGTACTATTGGCTCTGGGTGGCCTTTCAAATGCCAGGAAAAAAGTAATACTAAGAAAGAAATGAAAGCAGAAAGCCACACAGAAGCTCTGCTCCCTCAGCAATGGTTTGAGTGAAATTGGCTTCATAATAATAATATATTATTATACAAAACGACTTTGTAAGTATCAAAGAATGCGCCAACTTTCTTCAAGGTGCGTGGCTTGACAACTACTACATTATCGAGTTTTCTCGACAATAGAAGAGCATGCCTGTCTCACTCTGTGTCCTGTGGCTATAACAAGGCAATACGACAAAAGTTACCATTGTTTTGAAAGACTCAACAATAATCGAATTTGACTTGATCGCTTTCAAAACTTCTTACTGAGGTAAAGTTTCATGGTAATGGTGGTAGCATCGTGGTACGACGGCCTTCAACTCCAGTAGATGTTTATACTGGTTGGCAGTTATCTTCAATCTGTCTTTGCAGAGAGGTCCAGCAGTAACCGTCGTACACTGGGTGTTCAGATTTCTTGGTCCTTGCAGCGCCTGCCATCTATCATCAAAGTTCACCTTGTACTGAATTGTAAAGTATGAAGTGTACTTTGATGCCTGCAAGTCAGTGACAGTAGGATCACCTGCTTTTCTCCCTGGGCGGATTGTTTAGTGCTCTCCGACCTTTGCAAAATCTTTGAAAAAGCTGTGGCCCAGGTACATAACTTCATAGGGCTTGGGGATGAGTCTGGCTTGGAGCATGATGTCCACATAGTCCATTGGGATGTACATCAGTGCGTTTTAGAGCCATTGCTCAATAGTGCCATGGACTGAATCCACCTCCATTTGGGTATGGCCCTTGGTGATAATTTCTGCTCAACTGTGATGTTAAGCTCTTTGGCCAGCGAGGCCATTGCACTCACCAGGGTGGCAGTTCTGTTTTAGTAGTTGCACCAATCACTGCAGATGATGAAGTGGTTGAAGCCAGTCGCTTGCAATATCAGTTAGTGCGTCAGACATGATGAAAACTGTTGAAGCTCAGACCAACTTCACTTTCATCCCAGACATGTCATCTGGTGTCTCTGGTGGCAAGATCCTAAATTGTAAAATTGTGTATTGCCAGTTTTGTCTTATAATTATTTTAAGGTGGATGTCTTTAGTGATGAGACCAGAAGGACACGCTGGATCCCCACACAAAGGACACACATTTTGTTCTCTGGGTCCAGTGCCGCCTCCCTGTCCTTCTCCTTCTCTTGTCTAGCTGCAGCTTTCCTCATATTCATATTTGATGAGCTGTGTATTCTGTTTCTGTGAGGTTTCCTAATTCGAAGCTGGTGCAAATGTCGCACTGGTCTTTCTTGGTTGAAAGTGAACCCAAATTGTTTTTCTTGAACTTTTGGCAGAACACTTGATAGCTCATTGTGGCTTTCACCCTCTCAGCAGAGTTCTCCATGTATACTTGATGCAAACCTGACGTTTTCTGGATTGTAATCTGTGGACAGGAGGATATCTTCGAAAATTTGTCCAAAAATTCCTCTTTATGGAACAACTTGTCATCCTTGGCTCTCTCATGGTGGACGTGATGTGTTCTAGAGAGGGGGGGGGGGGGGACCTCTTGGAGTTTTATTTTCGGAGAAAACACTTTAAATAAACCAGTTGGTCAGACCTGTGGTGTTCATGAAGATTGTTTTACAAACAGATGTTCTTTGACCATTGACTCTTTTAAGTGATACTGAAGGGTGTAATTTCTCCTTGGGTTTTCACTTGCTGTGTAAGATTTCTTTTTGTCTATCCTGTTTATCATGGCTTTTACGTAGGCTCTCTTTTCTTTCCAAGAGAGTGACCAGTGATATCATGGCATTTTGTACCAACCAGTTTACAACAGCAAAGGACGTCAAGTTCACACCCTGCTCGCTTCGTGCCTTGATATGTGTAGTGGCATCCCCACTTCTTTCAACCTCTTCCTTTTGTAACTTTCAAGTACAAAGACAAAGAAAAACACGTGGACAGAAAAAATAGTTTCATATAAAACAAAATCCATAAAGATGCATTTGAAATACCGGCATTGTCACGAGATAAAAACAGTTCTGTGGGCACAGTGGGGAGTTTTAGTCATTAATAACATTATCAGCAGCATTTTTTTTTAAAAGAGAGACAACAACCAGATCTATATAACTCCCAAATGAAACTAACAAGAAATATTACACAAATTTCCCTTTTGAAGAGCTCACATGGTTACGTGAGCGAATTTTAGACTATCAAACGAAGTCCTGAGACGAGTCAAAACCGGGGTTAGTCGGTAACGTAGTACATGGCCCCTCATTGTTAGCACGACAAAAACAGCCAACCCTCATTCCCTCCCTCACAGGTGGGATAGTCGGAAACATCGGGCTAAAATCCGATGGATGGCGGGTTATACGGTTTTATTTCTAATGTTTTAAAGACATTTCTATACAAAATTTAGATCTGACTATAAGTGAGCATATGAAATGGACAATTTGCTATCGATAGGGCCAATAAAAAAAATTTTTACATTTTGTGGGTTAGGCGGTTTTATCACCAGGCCGACGATATGCACTATCAAACACAAACAAACACACACACACAATCAAACACAAACACATACACAAACAATCAAACACAAACACACACACAAACTATCAAACACAAACACACACACACACACACACAACCCACACACACACACTATCAAACACAAATACACACACACAAACTATCAAACACAAACACACATACACAAACTATCAAACAGAAACACACGCAAACCACCACATACACTACCACTAACCAGTGTTGTTACAGTTGGCCTCATCACTGTTGTCCCAGCAGTCATTGCTCCCATCGCAGACCCAGCTGGGATAGATGCACATTGAGGTGGTATTGCACGGGATGAGGCCATGGTGCTTCACGCCAGAGATCTTCACATCCTCACAGGTGTTGTCTGCATTGATAATACCACACAAAGCATAGTGGAAACATCTTTTTTTTAAACAAATTTTTTCAAAGTGAGTTGTTTTTCTTCTCCGTCCAACAACACAACTTGTGGAAACATTTTTCAAAAGAAAATTCCCACAACAGACAACAAAACATGCATGGTAAATAGTTTCCATGCGATCTCAAAGACAAGAATTTTTTCCCACTTCAAACCATACACCCCCAGCTCCACTCCAATTGAAGATACGAGTCAATGTCAAAGTCCAGTCTCATTAGCAACCTTGAAGAGCCTTGTAAGCGAGCAAAATTCAAAGGTAACCTCAGCCTACATCAAAGTATACTAGTGCAAGCAAAACATAAACACAAGTAGGTACAGCCATCTTCAACTCACTGCATCCAATCTCATCTGAATGGTCTGGGCAGTCATTGTCATAGTCACATCTGTACTTGTCCTGAATGCACATGCCATTAGCGCACTGGAACTCATTGGTGCCGCACGGGCAGGAGTTCTCGTCCGAACCATCGCCGCAGTCGTTCTTGCCATCACACACCAAGGACATTGCAACACAGCGGTGGTTGCCGCGACCCGAGCAAGAGAAGAACGACGCAGGGCACTTCCTGGTGGCTGTTGGCCAGAAGAAAAAAAAATGTGATATGGAACAGAAGACAAAGAATGTCACCATACTTTTTGATATGTCGATGACCACAGTCCGCTCAGAACCAGTGAACAAAAATTATAATAAAAAGACGTAATAATGGACAGCTCCCTGGGGTGACCTAAATACAGTATACTACTCCTTGTGGTGACCTACTTACAGCAAAACTACTCACTGTGGTGACCTAATTACAGTAGAACTACTCCCTATCGTAACCTACTCATAGCAGAACTACTCCACAGGATGACCTATTTATAGAAGAACTACTCTATGGGGAGCGTACTTACAGTGGAAATACTCCATGAGGTGATCAACTGACAGTAAACTACTTCCTTGAGTGACCTCCTTACAGCAGAACAACTCCCTGAGGTGACCTACTTACAGTAGAACAACTCCCTGGGATGACCTACTTACAGTAGAACAACTCCACAGTCAACTTTTCTAAAGCAGAACTACTCCCAGGGTTCCTGCCATGACTTTCCCATCAAATTCAAGGAGTTTTCAAGGAGAAATTTTTAAAATTCAAGGAGATTTGGTCAAGAAATTCATGACGAAAGCCTATTTTCGACAGACCTACACTTGTCCGAAAGGAATCATATCATATTCATAGTTTCGATTTTCCTCAGGGTGACTGCCAACCCGGCTTCTCAATTTTCGAAGGGGGGGGCTCATCCATTCTCCAGGGGCATGTTACATAACAACGACAGTGCATGCTCCATTTATATATTATATATAATATATACACACACTCATGTAGGTACATTATATCCAGTCAACAACATGTAAGTGTGGCACTGGGATACTGTGACTTATAGGTATTTCAGTCTGTTCTTACTTATTTATATTTTCCCCTCTTCATATTCGCCTATATAAACTATATAAAAATGAATCTTGCTTTGAGCCTGAGAAAACGCCTAGAACCAGAATATCAACTGTCAAGAACCAGTTTGGGTGTCAAGGTTTATATAATAAACGTGAAAGACAAAAATTATTACTCTAGCTCAAAGTAGAGTAATAACATGAATGGCTCAAGTAGACCTATTCAGTGTGAGAGGTGTCAGAACTGTTGGAGGGCAAGATGCAGTGACACTGAAAATCTGCTAATCTTGAACAGAAAGCTAAAATATATACAATACATATAATTTACTATCACCTACGCAATGAAATGGGAACCCTTTAGTAAAAAGAACACGGCTTACACGGTTTGAGTATGATGGATCCAGATTCCACACAAGGACTGCACCAACGCGCGCCTTGCAGAGAGATCTAGATCTAGAAGTAATCAAAATTCTGAAAAGTAAAATCTGCTTCCAACTTCATTTTTTTTTTTTTGTCATCCGGTGTTGCCCTCAACCCCCCTCCCGCGTGCGTCTTTTAAAAAATCAATAATGAATAATCCTCCCATTCCCGAGTCCTATACTTCGCAGCGCTCAAACTTTGCATGAACTTTGATGACCTCAACCATCGCCGATACTCACGGTGTGACGAAAACGCACAGGTTCAATGACCGGTCACGATGGCGAGCCCGACAAGAAGCTTCATTGTATAACTTTCTTTTTCTTTTTTTTTCTTTACACAAGTGACAGCACAGGACAAACGATTTATTTTCATGGTGACACAGCGTTTGTAATGCAGAACCTGCATGTTACAAATGTGGCGTTATCAGACTACTATAGGCCCTACCGGCAAATTTCTGGGTGGTAACAAAAGCGAATGTAGATCTTGATTTTCCCGATCGAGCTTCGGTATCTCACATACTTCCACTAGATCTAGTTGCCGCCATTACCGCATGTGCGCGTGTAACGTACTCTCAGGCCGGGAAAGGCCGCATGAATATTATATCACAATCGTGACCGGCAAAAATGAACTCAAGGACGTCATCGGACTTGGTTTTCAAATATTCAAGACCTTTTATGTATTTCCCCAGGTCTTTCACGGGGCAATTTACAGATTTCTTCAAATTCCCATTGCATTCCGGATCTCGGCGACTTTTTTCAAATTCCTGGGTAATTCCAGCCCCCCCCCCCCCCCCCCCC